TTGCACATTTCTTGTCATTCTGGTTTTTTTTTTTTTTTTTTCAACCAAGTTAGAAGAATCCTATATTCTCAGCTAATTTTTTATTTTGTTCATCTGTTCACCCAGTACAACCTTTCTGCAGTGAGGACAGAATTCTGGCTCTGTGACAGGCGTCTTTTTTGGTGACCCTCCTTCAAGAGCCCTGCTGCCTATAACAGATAGGTAAGCCTTGTTCTCACAAGATTTTTGTGTTTTTGACAAAAGTGCTCGTGCCATTTCTTGATTCTTCATGGAAAATCCTTTACATTTTTGAAAATTTATGTTATTAATCTTAATCCTTTGGGTTAGAGAGAGGGTTCAGCCATTAAAAGCATTTGTTGCTCTTCCAGAGGACTCAAGTTCAGATCCCAATAAACATTTCAGGTGATTGACAATACCTGTAACTGCAGCTTCAAGAGATCAGACATGGTAGGGTATCCGGTATAAACGCGCGCGCGCGCGCACACACACACACACGCACACACACACACACAGAGAGCTATTAGGAAAAAATTGGTTTGGAAATTAGATTTTTTTTTTTTTTTTTTGTATTTTTATTCACTTTGAAACTTGTTTCTTAAGTTTTTTCATATTCATTTTGTAAAAAAGACAGTCTTAGCATCTGTTTGATTAAATAATAAAGGTGTCTGTTAAGAATCTTTTGATGGCTGGGGTGAATGTCTTTAATCCCAGCAATCCAGAGGCATGTGGATCTCTGAGTTTGAGGCCTGCCTGATCTACAAAGTGAGTTCCAGGCAGCTAGGGCTATTACACAGAGAAATCCTGTCTGGAAAATGGAAAAAAAACGGGGGGGGGGGGTGTCTTTCAAAGCTGGGTGTGGTGGAGCACATCTTTAATTCTAGCACCTGGGAGGCAGAGGCAGGTAATCTCTTGAGTTTGGTCTACAGAAGGAGTTCTGTCTAGTACAGCTAAGACTGCTCAGACAAAGCCTGTCTTGAAACAACAGAAAAAGAATCACCTCTTAAATTTCATTAATTCTTGTGAAAAGGAAGCAGTAGAAACACCCTGCACTGCTACTCGATCCCATTAGGTAATTTAGGTAATTTAGAGTTAAGTAATTAAACTATTTCCAGGGCCTTCTAAGGTTTATGATTAAACTTTTAGAAGGCATACACAATATGATTAATTTTAAACCTATTAATTGGTACAAGTGGTTTGATAAAGTATAAATACCTTGAGGAGTATGGTGTACTTTCATTTATATAGTTTAGGCATTGTGATCTTTTTTTAATATTTTCTTTAAGTGTTTTATTTTCTTGTTGGCCTTGAATTTGTTATTCTATTGCCTCAGCCTCCCTAGTTTCAAGGATCCTGAGAGTACTCTTGATGGTTTGATACAGTGATCTTTTTCCTTTCCTCTTTCTCAAATATATAGTCTGTACATGTAAATTACACCAGAAGACAGTGATGTTACAAGTCAAGAGGCTTGGCTAAGAGACTGTTTGGTTTAACAGGATGACTAACAGAATGGAACTTATTAAGGTTTATCTAGTTCTCAAGGATCACTTCCCACTTTAATAAATATGTAACAATTACTAAAAGCACTAGTTCTAAATTCTGTAGTAGAGATCAAGACTGTATTAATAAGTCTTTAGTCATATATATCCTTACATATTTTAGTGAGTGAGAGGGCAGGCCACATAGTATTAGGAGAAAAAGGGTATAATCAAATGGAACTTCAAGAATGAATGAGTCAATACACATCTGTTATTGGTACTGCTTTCTACAATAGAAAAATCTATATTCAGCATATAACAATTAGGCTGTGGTTTACCACTTAGTTTGCTATTGTAACTTAGTTTTTATAGTTTCATCCCTAGCTTAAAGGAACAAATAGGTGGGTGATTTTTATTCTTCCAGAACTAATATAGGACACATTTGCTTCTTAGTAACTGTAAGATGTTAACTCACTTTACTACTGCATTTCCTCATTTATTATGAGTTAAAGAATTTGGTTTGATATTTGTTTTGTTTGTTTTGAACATGAGAATGTGTGGATGCAGCATTATGATAATGCATTTTTCTTTCCTCTTGAACTTTATACTGTATTTTACAAGGACTAGGCCCTACAAACAGTACAGAGATGAACATAAGGAAAGTGATCCCTATAAGCTATAAACCTCTAATAGCTTGTTTGCTTGGGGACTAGTTGAGCTAAATAAGGGCAGTATAGTGTGGAAACAGACATGTAAATGACTTTAATAAACATGTATGTTTTGTTGCATTTTATGTAGTTTATCCTCAATTACTGAGTAAAACAGCTAATCAAACCTACAGTGTCTTTAAGGCATTGTTTTTATGTAATTATAAAATGTTATCCTAGCACAGAGATAGAAATGATTGGGAAAAGTGTTAAGAATGGCGTCCCATCTTATCTCCACTTTTATGAACCAGGGTTAAGTGAGAAGGCAAAATTAGCAGCGAATTTAGAATTTAAAACTAAGCTTGATTGTAAGCCCATGTTCTTACTCACTTCTGTACTGTATCTTCCACAAGGTTGAGAATGTGAAATAATCAAATAAGTACCCTTTGTGAGATGTTTAAAGGGTTGATCCTTCAGCTGGCTATAGATTCTTAAGATTTTTATAAGGTTTTAAAATTTAAGTAGGTGTGGTTAACTTGTCTTCTCAGTTCCATTGTTTATCCTTATCTCTAAATACTAATTGCTAAAACTGTCCATTGTTTCCCAAAATGAGATGAGGGGAAGTTTATTTGCATATTGGAGGAATTTCTCAATCTCAAAAGGAAGCACTTAGTAGCAATGGTGGTTGATATTGCTTCCTATATTCCAGGAGGCATCATTAAAAGTATTTTCACAAATTGAGCATTAACCTCACATAAAGACTTAGAAATCAGTTCCTTTATTTGATAAGTGGAGAAAGTAGGGCCTGGAGATGAACTGAGGCTAGAATTTGAAAGTAGTGTGCCTCAAGACTCTGTACTCACTATAATTTGTCTTGTTGTATTGTACTTGTGTGGTATGGTTGTACTCTTTTAGAACTAAATTTTGTTAATCAACAGTTTTTTTTTTTTTTTTCTTTTAAAGCCTCGGATAGAATGTTATCCTTTCTAGAAGATGATGTTAAATTTAGAAATATATATATTTGTGCAGAAGCAACATTTTATAACAATAGCTTCATTTCCTCTCCTACCTGCTTATCACCTCAGATGTTTATACTTTCTCAAACTACTAACTTGTACCAATTAATAGGTTTAAAATTAATCGTATTGTGTATGCCTTCTAAAAGTTTAATCATAAATCTTAGATGGCCCCGGAAATGGTTTAATTACTTAACTCTAAATTACCGAATGGGTTTGAGTAGCAGTGCAGTGTGTTTTTATTGTTTCCTTTTCACAAGTAAATATAACTTAGTTTCTTATACTCAAAAGTCTAGATTTTATTAACCTTTGATTGAAGAGCTGTCCTCAAACTCAGTGAATATATGATTCTGTATAATAAGAGTATTAATACAATAGTTGAACCTTTTATTCCCTTTAAGAGCCTACTGCAGTATATGTGAATCCTATGGGTATCTAATTAAAAAATACTAATTCTAATCATTGGTGTTGTTTAGTAAAGTGCCTGTATTTTGTTAGTAGCAGCCAAACTAGAAAGGTCTGCTAGTGTCCAGCCAACAGAATTTTACTGAGTTAGGGCTGGAGAGATGACTCAGAGGTTAAGAGCATTGGCAGCTCTTCTAAAGGTCTAGAGTTCAATTCCCAGCAACCACATGGTTCCACACAGTGGCTCACAACCAACTGTAATGAGATCTGGTGTCCTCTTCTTGCTTGTAGGCATACATGCAGGCAGAACACTGCATACATGATAATCTTTAAAATATTACCAAGTTAATACAGGGTGAGTCTAGGCTTAATATAAATATGTGTAATGTAACAAAAAGAAAAAGACACTAAAAATCGAATTAATTCCATTTAGATATAATAGTCTAAGTCCTCCTAGATTTTGAAACAAATTAATCTGAAGGACAGATTGCACACAATATTTTTCTTTAAAGGGGTTCCGTAAGTGCAGGGCAGTTCACACACCTTTAGCCCAACACTTGGGAGGTGGAGGCAGGTAGAGCTTTGTGAGTTCGAGACCAGCCTAGTCTACAAGAGCTAGTTCCAGGATAGGCTCCAAAGCTATACAGGGAGACCCTGTCTCAAAAAAAAAAAAAAAAAAAAGGGGGGGGGTTCTATGAGGTATAACATAACTGTAATGTAAGGCAGTAGTGGCCAAGGCAGAAAGATCATTCAAGGTTAGTCTTGGTATGTATTGCAGCAGTATCTCAGGAACAACAAAAAGCCGATTTGATGATGTGTTACTCCAAAATCAAGAGTGTAAAACATTCTATGTTTAGGTAATTGTGTTGGTTTCAATGTATAAAGATGAGAATTTATCTTAGGTTCTTTTGTTATATGGAATACTTTGCTTTGGGAATGTTAATTAAATTAAGAATTCTTCCTAGTTTTAGAGACTTTACTTCTGAGCTGTAATTTGGATACTACAAATGTCCAGCATTTAGCTTTTGTTGAGTCTGGATTGGTGTTTGATAGCATGTGTTTGGGGTCACATGTATGTTTGAGTCTTTGTTTTAATGTGATTATGAACAACATGACACCTCTGAGTCTGTTTCCTCATTACAAAAAACAACTGCTGTATATTTTAGAAGTTAAGGATTTATCATTGAACACCAGTGATCTTGTCTTCCTGTAGCTTGGATTCTAGTTGGGAAAGAGAGTAGGAGACAGTAAATGGTAATATTTATATTTTGAGTTATATTTCAGCCCCAATTAAATGGAATAATGTAGATGACTTGTTTACATCGAAATAAACACTGTTTGGGCACAATTCCTACCGTTGGTAATTAGTAATGTTTAAGCTGCAATAGCTAGTGTTTAATGTGAGAAAGGAGAAGGAGGAATCGTGGTGACTCATCCATATTTGCTTTCCTTTCTAGCAACCACCAAAAAAGACATCTAAAAAAGAAAAAGCAAAACAGAAAGCTGCTGCTAAAAGTAAAAAATCTGTAAAAAGTGCTAATGTTAAGAAAGCAGATAGCAGCACCACCAAGAAGAATCAAAACAGTTCCAAAAAAGGTATATTAGAAATGATGACAGCAACTGTCAGGGTACACCATATGCATGTACATATTTAAGTGTGTATGAAAGACAGTAAACGGCAAAGTACATTTGGGGGAAGTAGCATGCCAGTTTTCAAAGCTAAAAAAGTTTCCAGTGCATGCATTGTATGTAATTTTAAGGTGAAGATTTTTATTTTATAATTAAAACTTAAATGATTTATAACCAGGAAGGGCATATGTTCTCTCAAAAATTTAAAAACTCTCCCCATTGACTTACACGTTGGTATGCAAAAAAAAAATTATTGACACTTAGTATCTTAACTTTTAGAGTCTGAATCTGAAGATAGTTCTGATGATGAACCATTAATTAAAAAATTGAAAAAACCACCCACAGATGAAGAGTTAAAGGAAACAGTGAAGAAATTACTGGCTAATGCTAACTTGGAAGAAGTCACAATGAAGCAGATTTGCAAAGAGGTAATCAGGGGCCGGGTTCTAGTTAGTCCCTGCTGACTTGGAAATTTTTTACCATTTAATTTGAAACTGTTAGTACATCTTTTTGTGTATTCATTCAGAGAGTATTGATTGAAATATTTCAGACCCTTTTGTGAGTACTGGATACTGTACTTATAAAACAGCCAAACATCACTGACTTGAACATATTTATGAATAAAGAGTCAATAAAATTAAAATGATACGCTTCACAACAGACTTCCTGGTGTGGAAACTTAGTGATGCAGTGTTAGCTTGTGTTGGTTTAAAGAGAATCTTAGGAGTCACTCCCTTAGTGTGCAGGGAGTTAGATGTTATTAACTTGAATAACTTAATGCAGCTCAGGAAATAGTCTTGAATGAGTCATTATCTATAGTTTAGATACAGTTGAAGATTTAAAAATCGAGTTTCTTATGACTAAGTAATGTTTAATTTGAAATACCCCTGTGCTAAAATAGTCTATGACTTTATTGAATTTATTTTTTAATTTATTAAACATTCCACCAAGCCTGTACTATAGATACCAAGCTAGGACTGGGTGTTAAGAGATAAAGCAGAGAAGTCATAGCTTGTCCTTACATGTGCCTGCAGTTCAGCGAGGTAGAGGAAGATAAGATTCCAGCAGAGGGCTGTGTGCAATCTGTTAGAACAGCTTGGGAGGAGCACAGCACCACAGAACAAACATTCCTACCTGAGAATGGGGGCTAGGGCTTGAAAAGAGTATAGAAAAACATCTAGAATTATTACTCATTGAATCCCAAAATAGTAGAACATCACCTTTTCTCTATAGCAGTGGTTCTCAACCTTTCTAATTCTTCGACCTTTAATACACTTCCTCATGTTATGATCCTCAGCCATAAAATACTTTTGTTGCTACTTCATAACTATAATTTTGCTACTGCTATAAATCGTAATGTAAATGCCTGTTTTCTGATGGTCTTAGGTGACTCCTGAAAGGCTCATTCAACTCCCAGGTTAAGAACCACAGATTTATTGTTGAAGAACAATGAGATTATCATTGAAATAAACAGCAGTTTGTCTGAAAACTAGGGTTGCAAAGTAGTCTTTATTGATGTAAGGAGAGAACTACTAGAGTTTTCAAAATCTATAGATGCCTTGGAACTAACTTCAGTGTTCTTGAAAATAAGGGAATTGAGAATCTGGACATGATATTGAGATTGTTGAAAGGGACATAATAGTTGCTTTTTTTATTTGGTTTTGAGGCAAGGTCTCTGTTAACCAAGCTGGCCTCAACTCAGAAATCTACCTGCCTTCTAAGTGCTGGGATTAAAAATGTATACTACTCCAGTTTCAATGGTTCTTTTTCTGTTTTTGGAGAGAGGGATTCTATGTGTAGCTTTGGAGCCTGTCTTGGTGCTTACTCTGTAGACCAGCTGTCCTTAAACTCAGGATCACCTGCCTCTGCCTCCTGAGTGCTGGGACTAAAGCTGGGACTAAAGACGTGTGCTGCCACCACCCAGCGATAGTTACATTAAAGTTATCCTACAAACATCAAAAAATGTGATCTGACAAAAAGATGATAGAGACATAAAATCCAGCTTATATAGTAAAGCAACAGGTATGAGACTGGGGGTGCTTGTGGCTTAGTGATAGAATACTTGCTATTAGCAAGCCTTGAGCTTGCTTTAACCCATCAGAAACCAGAGCTTAATAAATCAAAGGATTCTCCATTGTGGATGTTACCAATTACAGGTAGCAGTAATCATACTTGAGACTAGAACAGACAGTTTATATTTTATTTAGATACTTTGAGGTTGGGTTCTTGGAACATGCAAATGAATACGGGTTTTCTACTTTAGGAGATACTTTTTAAGACTTGTAAACATTGAAGGGGCCTCTCATCGGACACAGAATTAGAAGGAAATAATAGTTTTGCTTATTAGAATAAAGGGAGCCCTATAGAGATTGACAGTTTTCATTGGTTCTAAAGAATGCAGAAAAACAAGTACTACTTGTGTTTTAAGTTGTAACAGCTTCTTTAAAGGACTTGAGTATTGAAATTTAGATCGCATATACCCTTTAAACTAGCAATACCATTTCAAGGTCTCTCTTTTAAGGCATAGTTGTATGATGCCAATAATGTTCATTCCACTTATAGTGAAAAATCAGAAGCTACATAAATGACCATCAGTAAGGAAATGAGTAGACAACTTACTAAATACATTAAGGGTTGTAGTTTTATAGCAAACAAGGGATATTTACAATGGCATAAATGGGAACATGTTTGTAAAGACACCCATTATAGGCCATGGGCTAACTCATGCCTATCACATTTTGTCAATAAAGTTTTATAATATAGCTATGCCTGTTCATATTAGTAGCATCTCTACTCATATGAATACATCTATTTCATACATCTGTGAAGTTGGAATAAACTGACTAGCAAAGCTCCAAACATTTTGTGCTTGTCCATTTATAGCAAAAGTTATAGGCCCTAAATGAGGGTAAGAGTTCAGACTGGAAGTTAATTAATAGATTTGAAGTTGAGGACAGGTTTGTTTAAATTCTAGGAGTAAAGCACTCATGAGACCATTTGGACTTTCGTGATTTAATTGAGAGGACTGAGTATAGAGTAGAGGTTCAAGTTCAAACTGTAGAATCCCAAGGAGAATGTTGGGTACTATGGAGACTAGGCCCTCTAAAAGTCACTTTGCAGATAGTCTGCCAATATTCCCTACCTGTAGTTTTGATTCAGTACTACTCTGAACTGGTAAAGCACTGAGAATGTTCGTTGACGTTATTGCTTTGAATACAGTATTATTAAATCTCTTGCAAGCACAAGTCTGGTGAACCATAGAACACTTAAAATATTATGGGCTGTGATGATAACTTTCTTATACAAACAAAGCCTGTCTGAGGGTCAGAGAATGGAGCATGCCACTCGCTAATCAGAGGTCTGTACAGACAGACAGGAAGTGAGGTAGCTGGGCAGAAAAAGGATATACACAGGATTGCTCTCGTCTGCTTAGACCTGAGCAGGTAAAATGCTGTGGCTTGCTCCTTCTCTGATCTCTTAGTATTTCCTTCTATATCTGACTCCAGCTTTTTACTGTCTAGATCAATTAAGAACTCCATTTACAATGAACTTTTAAATCTGCTTTTAATGTTTTTAGGTATATGAAAATTATCCTGCTTATGATTTAACTGAACGGAAAGATTTCATTAAAACAACTGTAAAAGAGGTAAATATTTCCTTTTTCCTACTTGATCACTTGGCATAGAAACCAAAAGTTTGTCAAATATTTTTTTTGACTATTCATGTCAGTGAAGATCACATTTGATACCCCAGAGTTGTTAATAAACATAGATGAGGAAATATATTTAGTGAGTTTGAACAGTTTTGATAAAACCTTAGTCTAGATTAAGATAGGTTCATAGTGCACAGGGTAGTTTTATATTCCTGATATACTCACTAGCTTCAAGGCAAGTCACTCCAAGGCACAAGGTTGGCAGTTGTGTGTTTCATATTATTTACATTAATATATTGCGAGTAACATTGTATGCATACATACTTGATTTTGTGTGTTGGGTGTGGTAAAGCAGTTTTCTTTTTCATTGCAGCTCATCTCTTAAGCTAGAGGACAGGCGGCTTGTCCTCAAATTGGAAGATCTGATTTATACCAGCAAAGAGAATGTATTTTCTTTTTTAAGTCTATTGTTGGTAGAACTCGCTGCTGACCCTTTTGCGTGTTACATATATTTGAGCTTGCTGTTTTAAATTGCATTTCCTTGCAGTTTTCAGTTTAAGTCTTGCATGGCAGTAATTGTTCCTTGCTTTCTGTAGTTGTACATTTTGGATTTCTTTATTGTAAGGTCACAGATTTCTGAACTGTTGTTAATTTAGTGCACTTAATGTTAGCTTAAGATACTTTTAATCAAAGCAAAAACTATTATAACCAGCATTTATACATGCAGAGGCTATTGCAGTATTTAGTATATGAAATATTTTGAATACACCTTCTGTCAGTGTGAAAACTTAGTGGCAGTTTGTTCATTGTTTTAGAGTACAGCTGTTCAGATGACCGAGTTGGAACTTTTTCTGCATGTGTATATATGTCAATGTCAGCATGACAGAAGTGACAGATGTTATTTTTGTATTTTTAAAAACCAATTTGTTGTATATAATTTTTTTTATTTCTTTTGTGCAGATCGATTTTTAAACTCATGTAGGTAGGTGTCTTTCCACCTGTAACTAAAGAATGTCAGTGTTCAGCTAGGTGGTATGGCAAAGCAGTCAGGTCAGTGGTGGCAAGACCAAAGGACTGTCCAGTTCTGCTTTGCCCTGAAAGTGTCATAAATTTTGTGGTATGTTAACTATGTTAACTTAAGTGTCATAGAAATTTTATATTGAGGATAAACCAAAATCAACACATCAGAATTCAAAAACTTGGAAAGGGTGAGCACACTTGGCTTATATATAAGTGAACTGGTAGTAACTAAATAACTAAACTTGATACAGGAAACTGACTACCTTCATAATTATGATTAAAAGTACCAGAAGGTGGTGTGTGGACAATGTAGGCTATCTCTGATTAGAAGTATCAGGTTGTAATGCTGGCAATGTAGGTATCTTTGAAAGTATTTCTTAGAAATCATACATTGAAGTAAGTATTATAGAATCAAGGCTATTTGATTTTAAATTTTGATCAATCAAGATTCTAGGTGATAAACATGGACTGCCCCTGGATTTAAATTGTCTTTTGACTGTCCTAATAACCTGTTTCTGAATTATAATAAGCTGCTGCTTGACAAAGTGACAATTGATATACCAACTGAGTGTTTACTTTTTGACATCATAGATCAGATATATTAAAATAATGTTCAGCATTAACAGGCATTTTCACATATTTGAATTTAGTATATATACTTAGGACATAGAACAATTAAATGAAGACTAAAAATTGGCTTTTAAATAATTTGTTATAAATCTTGGCAATAAAGAATAAATTGATGTTTTAAATGTCTTGTATTTAGTCTTTCAATTTATTTCCTTTTGTGTCATTCTCTGGGGTATGGGAAATTATTCTCCTAATCCTATTACTGAAGAACTCCAAGTAATAACTGACAACTTTTGAAATGATATTTAATATTTTTACCAAAGGAAATAGGTTGTAAATGCTTATAACCAAAATTTTAAAAGGATTGGAAACAGTTGACAGAGTGATGCTATAACCATTTATTAAGGGCATTTGCAAAAGTTCTTATTAAGTTAAGCATGTTTTACATAACCAGTTATTCATGATGCGTAGTTAAATCACTGTAATTCTGCTCATTAACTAATTGTTTTTGGTTGTTTTGGTTTTTTGTTTGTTTGTTTGCTTTTTTGAGACAGGGTTTCTCTGTGAAACAGTCCTAGCTGTCCTGGAACTCACTCTGTAGACCAGGCTGGCCTTGAATTCACAGAAATCTGTCTGCCTCCTGAGTGCTGGGATTAAAGGCGCGTACCATCACCGCCTGACTCTCATTAACAAAAATCTTAAGAGGTTGAAAAACATAGCAACTCAAAAGTACCATAGTTCCCGTAGGACAAAATATGAAATTAAGTTGTCACTTGAAAAAGGGAGAAAAATTAAATACACATTTATATGAAATGGCATAATACAAGCTCAAGTGCCTAGAAACTAAATAACTTAAGACTGAAATTTTAACATTTTGCATTTATCACTTCACACACGCTAAACATTTTAATTACTTACACTTTAAAGCAGAATACTTCCCTTATCAGTACCAATGAGTCTCAACAAATAACCTCTAAGTACAGTGAATAATTAACTTTAAAAATGTAGTTACTGGCTTGTATCATACTTTGACAGGGAGGGCGTCAAGACTGTTTAGAGCTCACTTTACTGTATATTCTTTATATAAGGTCTTCCGTTAATATTTTAAAAAGTGGCTTTAAAGTCTTTTGTAGCTCCCTTTTAAAAGCAGATAATGCAATTCAAAGACTTTTTAAAACAAAAGCACATTTCTAATTTGTCAACTGAAGTTTCTTGGCAGAATAGGCATCCAAAAGACCCTGAAACCCATGTTTATTAACTAAACTTCAAGTGGAAAAGTTTCGCCATGTTCAGACTTTTAACATACGGCTTAGAAAGTATGTGCTATGTACCAAGATAACTAAGATTTTCTGCAGTTTTCCAGTGGACCTGCCTATGGGAAACTTACTGTAAATTATATAAAATATTAGATACTGTGAAAATCACTTTAAAAATAGGTGAAGAGGGGCTTTTAATTATTCTGACAAGATATTTGCCAAATTTCAAGTGTGCTACCCTCCCCAAAATGATTTTAGTCTGTTTTATAGTGTGGAATTTCACTCGCGGTTAAGGGATTTTTGAGTCTTATGTTGATGAGAGCACAGATTAAAATATCAAAATATACCTGAATCTCAGTTTTGAATACCCAATGAAAAGAAGTATATGTAGTATAAAATAGCCTAGAAGCTTTATGTCACACCTTCAAGTTGCTGTATAAAAAAGAATTGAAAATTTTAAGGAAAGCCCGAAGATCGGAGCTGTGTAAAAATAGTAAGGCTCATTGGTAAGGGTACTGATAAATTGTCACAGAAAAACACATGGCTTTCTCTAAGTGTGCTAGTGACTCCTGCTGGATTACTTGGTTTCACAATACTATGAAAAGTAATCTGCCAACTAGAATATCCAGTCTGAAGGGAACTCCCAACCGGTGCCACCTTCTGAAAACCATGGGACTTCGCACTAATTGGGCCAATTGAAAAATGAAATTAAGTGCCTAGGAGATTTTGAGGGTCAGTGATTTCAGAAGAATGAAATGTGTTTACATTTTCCTATCACCACAGAAACATTTCAATTTTACTATACAGAGTCCCCTCTCTCTTATAAAACTTAAGTTTAACTTGTGTTTCAAACTTTTCCATTTGGGACACAGAAGAAAGCTAGGTCTGGATGTGTTCTTTTTAAAAGGCTGCAATTTTGCTTGCTTCTCGAACACCACTCAAATAGGCCCCAGTAACAGTTTGTGGGAAATGCCTGTTTGTTGCCTGTGGGAGAAAAAAAAAAAAAAAAAAAAAAAAAAACTGTTTCAGACTGTGCATAAAGAACGTATGACATCAACAGGTCGTAGGACCTTACACTTTTTCTGGCCTACTTAAAGATTTATGTGTTCATGACATAGCATTGAATCTTGGCTTCTTTTGCTAATGCTTTACCAAACTTAACTCGTATCTGATTTGGAAATACCATCTAGGACAGTGGAGGTTGAGTACTCATAAGCCTCATAAATGGGTACTGAGAAGGTGAGAATAACTATCCAGGGAAAGCAAGAAGAGTCTAAGGAAATCCCATTTTAGCCTGGCTTGGTGGCACATGTCTTTAATCCCAGTACTCAGGAGGCAGAGGCAGGCAGATCTTTGTAAGTTTAAGGCCAGCCTGGTCTACAGAGCTAGTTCCAGGACAGGCTCCAAAACTACAAGGAGAAATCCTGTCTCACAAAACAAAATCCCATCTTAGCCTAAAACTGCCGTCTCTAAAAGCTGCTGCCTGGAATATGACCATTATGTACAATTTGCATGGCTGGGTTAAGATAGCTCTTATCCAAAAAAAAAAAAAAAAAAAAAAAGAAAAAAGAAAAGAAAAAAAAAATCACATGACAAAAACCTAACAGTTTCTGATTGAACAAGATTTGTGATCTGCATGTAAACTTGTAATAGAGCTGCCTTTATGATGGGATGGAGGGCAGGAACTAACAAAAGGCAAAAACAATTCTACAAAGAATCTTTGGGAAATTTCAGTCTTTGGGACCTGAGGAGCATCGCAGTGCAGGCAGCAGCTGGTTTCCAAAGCCCTTAGGTCCAGGCAGCTGATGCTCCTGTCCCTCCTGTGGTTGGTAAAGTCAAACACAAGGACGTGCATGTTAAAAAGCTTGATGCAGCAGCACACCCTTGTACTCAGCTCTAGGAAGGTGGAACTCCAAGCCTATGAAACCGTGTCTCCAAAGCAACCAAGGTGGACAGCTCCAAAGGAATGACACATCTGAAGCTGAGCTCTGGCACATTTACCCCTCAAACATGCCTCTCTTCTCACAAAAATTTAGGTACTATGTTAAGTAAAAAGTATTAATTACCAATGAGCCTTCTAGCATCCAAAATGCCAGAAGCAAAGTTACTACAAAAAGGGAATGTTCCCAGGCAGTGCTATCACTGCTGGAGCTGTGAAGGAAGGCTTTTCAGATGTGCCTCTCCTCATAGCCAGCAAGGAAAACAGGAAACATTTGTCAAAAGCCTAAATAACCAAGGAGACAATTCTCAAGTCATAATAGCTGGCAATAAAAATTGACAAGAAGACATTCATTTCAAAGTGGAAAGATTTCCAAACACCTCTCCCAAAGTCAAAGAAGAAAGGTTGGCAATCCAAGAGTTTGAAGGAGGACAGAAGATCTAAGGATAAAGAAAATGGGAGGAAGTGAACAGTATTCTTTAATTACAAGGACTAAAGAGGATTAAGAGTCTACCCAGTAGAAGACCCTACTATAACTTGTTAGTGAACAGTGCAGACTCCAGGGTTTCAGATAATAAACCAGCTAGGAGGGAGATCTGAGGGAATTGTGAATTGGAGATGACTGAAGGGGCAGGGAAGACAGACACCAAAATAGCTACCAAGAAAGCACTCATGAACACCTTGGCTCAGCAGTAAATATGACACTGTGTAAAAACAGATCAACCAAGTGTGTTGACTCCCACTGGGATCTTAGCAGAATATGGGGGCAGAATTGTTGCAATCAAGCCTGGACTTATAGAGTGAGAGCTGGAGCATGGATACCAACTAAGTAAAATAGGTGCATTCAAACAATGGTGCCTGGAGACTAAATAAGATATATATATATATATATATATGTATATGTATATATATATGTATGTATACATACATATATACACATACATACACACACACACACACACACACACACACACACACACATATATATATTTGAGACAGGGTTTCTCTGTAGCTTTGGAGCCTATCCCAGCACTATGCTCTGTAGACCAGGCTGGCCACAAGTAAGCTATAATTTTAATAGAACAAAGTAAGTCAGAGTCTAATACTTAAATAATATAATGTCAATATAGATACTTTAAGACAGATAAGTCTCAAGAATGATCTCTTCACAGGAAAATAGACAGTTAAAAATAGCTGCTAGCAGAAATATAAGGCAAGCTTTCAGAATGGAAAGGGTTTCTACCATGAATAATCACCAGACTTTCAAACAATACTTGACTTGGGTTTTAAGACTGAGCATTTTAACTGAAAAAGGGTTGAGTTTGATGTCAAGATATGTACCTCACCAGCAAAGAAGACAGTTCCTTGTATTTCTTCAGCAATGATGTCATAGGCCTCACCACTTCCAAATGTCTTGACGAAACTATATGCCATCTGGATCCATGGCTCTGTGCTCCACCTTGTGACAAAATACTTGGTGGGATCTGGGATTTCCTTATGTGCAAACAAATAATTACTTTTAAAATAGGATAAAAAGGAAAGTTGGACACACCACAACCCAATTAGAAAGAAACTGTTTTAGCAGCTGTATGTCCTTCCTATGGCCTCTCCCTTCCTCAGCCACACCCAATCCCTTCTATGCTTCACCTGCCAAAGACACATCCTGTACAAAAAAATCATTACAGTGACTGTACACTAAACTTAATTTTGTTCACTGGCTTCTGACATGAGAAACACTTCCCTATAAACTACAGTTCCAGGTAACTAAAAAGCCAGGTGAACACCCAAGCTGAGAATGATTTTGACTGAATTGCATGACTAGTTAGATCTTTTACAAAGGATTGACAATAGCTGAATGAATGTACCTCAAATTTAAATTATGAGTCATTTCACTTCTATTTCTACTCTTAGTTAGAAGACAGGTCATAGCTACTTCCAGATCTCCAAAGAATGGAAGAAGGTACCCTGAGCTCCTTGTAGAGACACTTGTTTATGT